GGAGGGCCAAGGTGGGGGAAGAGAACGCACTCGGCCCAGGGTCCGAACCCCGACCATACCAATGTCTTACTCCAAACCAACCTGTACTGCTGACCAGCCCGCCTGACCATTTAGCCTCCACACTGGCCCACTTTAGTCCCTCACCAAACATGTACAACAGCATCAGTGTGTTATTTCCGGTGGCTGCCCAGCTCAGAATAAACCCAACATCACTACCACACCTCTGAAACCTATACAAACCCCTCCCATCCTAACCTTCCCTGCTCAGCCTCACACAGAGGCTTTGGCGCTGCCTGGAGTGGCCCTGTCACTCATGCACAGGGCTTGCCATCTGAGACCTGACCACTTTCCTTCCTACCCTCTACTTCTGGGTATCCCCTACTTATCCTTTGCTGAAATTTTTGTGTATTCTTCACTGTGCACAGCCCCCTGGTACAGTGTTGAGCATGCACTGGGGCTGCCCAGCTTGCTTCTTGTTCTTTATACCTGGTGTTCCGCCTGCAAGACTCAGGTCTTGGTTTCCACTCTGCTGACTTTTACAGTCCGGGGTGCTTACCTGAGTCGCTAACATGACTCATCGCTGGTATCATCGCCAATACTCCAGGGAAGGAACACCTTGGTCAGAATGCTCTACCAGTTGCCTCAGGTAGCAAGGTCCTTGGCTTGCCCAGGAGAGTAGGCCAGCTGGCTGGCAGGCCAGGCAAAAAGAACACTGAATGGGGTATGGAGCCTAACAGGGCCTGCAGGCGCTTGACCTCAGTGAGTCTCAATCTGGGAGACCGCCAGAGATTTCTGGACCCACATCGTAAGCAAGCCCAGGTGGATGCAGCCAGGACTTTTGTATCTACTGTGCAAAAATGTAAGATCTGCTGGTGATGGTACCACACACTTGTAATCCCAGCAAGTGGGCAGCTCAGACAGGAGGATCACTGAGAGTTTGAGGTAGGCCTGGGCTACATAGTGAGTTCAGAGAGGCCAGGACTACCTAACGACTCTACCTCAGAGAATCAAAAATAGGGCTAGGATGTAGCTCAGTGATACCACACCTGCCTGGCGATCACAAAGTCCTGAGTTCGATTCCTGGTACCAAAGGGGAAAAAAAGTCCCAAGACACATGTCCTGAACTTAAAAGTTACAAGCTTAGTCTTCAGGTCACAGCACCTGATGACTTAAGACTCAATGGTGCTTCTGAGACTCTTGCAATGACCTTTCCCACCAGTTCACCCAGACTCTCACCTGGTCTTGAGTTCAGAAGAGATGTTGTCGAAGAATGACTTGGATTTGTCATAGTAGCAGTTGGGCCCCAGAAGGTCTTCCTCAGCAGGAGTTTCATCACTCTGAGTGACCACAGCCTGGTCCTTCTCTTCCCCCTTCTCAGCCCTATCCTCTACAAAGAGACACAGAGCACATAAAGGTCCAGGAGAAGCAGACACCACATATCTCATGCCCTCCAGCGTGTCCCTCTCCCGGGGGTCTCGAGTTCAGCAGCCACTGTTGAGCCCAGACAGTGCCCAAGCATCTCATGCCAAGCAGAGACCTCTTCTCACTGATGGTCATGACAACTGTTTCTCGCACCTACTGCAAACGCCTCATCTACCTCTCATTTAATTCCACATTTCAGACTGGAAAGCAACCTGTGGATTCCCACGACACCCTAGTCATCTCAGTACACTCTAGGAATACTCCTAGGGGATAATGACTTTCATATGACACAGACCTTTAAAATTTAGTTTCTTCTTGAATTCTTTGTCCAGCTCCTCTCGGTTGAACTGGGCATTTGCACTCTCAAAATCAAAGTCTCCTTCAAACTTGATTGTGTTTTCCTTGACATTAGTAGGACGGTTTTGCCCTCTGGATCGATTTCTTGTTCGCCGATTCCCTGTGAGGAGAGAGGACAGCCACAGCTAAAGGAAGCCATCAACCCAACATTTCAAAAGCAGCTTACAGGCACCCAGCAGATAACACGGGGCACAGTTCACAGATGCTCACAGATGCAGCACCTCAGGCCCAGCACCCCTATGAGGGAAGCAAAGCACAGCCTGCGGCTTGCAGCTTCCAGAACTCAAGTGGCAACAGGTGTTACCTGACCGCCTCCTCTGAGGTCTTCTGTTCTCGTCATTCACCTGCCCTTGAGTGTGCACAGCTGCTGGCTGGACTATATCTAAGGCGCAAAGGGAAGAATGAGGCAAAGCTCCCACAGAAGCCAGAATCCAGCCACCAAAGCAGGCACCTCCACCACCTCCACCACCACCAGCACCAGCACACCACATGAGCCCTTGGGGAGGGAGGCTGCCACACAGACCTGCCCTGCAAAAGCACATAGGGTGTGAGTGGGGGGTGATGTAATAACCCAATAAGTAAATAACCCAATAAATAACCCAGTAAGTAGTGTGCCACATTTAGAACACAGAGCAAACTACAAGGGATAAGTGTTCAATACCACCAGCCGTCTTGCTGCTTGGCTGGGCCTGGTGACCATTGAGCTGCATCCCTGAGGTGCCCTTGCCAGGTAACAGCTTTTTGGCATTCAGGTTATCAACGGAACCAGTCTGGACAGCCTGTTCCACCATGGGGCTCTTGCCAACTGGGGCAGATGGAAAACCAGGTCCTGAATTGAGGGAAGAAAGGTTGAGAAATACAGAAAAGACTTACACTTCTAGTCACTTCTCTTCTGCTGACACGTCAGGCAGGAGAGAGCACCACTGTCTAGAGAGGTCTAAATCCCAACCAAGTATCCTCAGCTGGGCCTTTCCTTCTGAGGCTAGCCCAGAGAACAGGCAAAGGCCAAGTCACAGGGCAGCACAAAGGGCAGCTCATTGCTGGGTGCCCCAGGCCCTAAGCTGAGTTACGGAATCCAGAGGAGGGAAAAAACTGTGCCCACAAACAGCCATCTCCCAGAGGCTCCCAACCTGCTCTAAACCCAAATGGTTTACAAGCACAAGAGGATGATGAATTCAAGACCTGATCCATGCTGAAGATGATCTGTAATGGGCAATGGTCCAACTTTGAAGCCAAATCCTATAATAGTCACTTTTGCCTACAGCATGGACAGGATGTAGTAGTAAGAGATGCCCGCAGCTAAAGAAACAGCCCACAGCCTCCCGAGAATAAAGTCTCTTCATAAAGCAAGTAAGGGCTTCCAATGGCTGTGATGAGGGGCTGTGTACACAGTAGTAAGACACATCTCTAAAACCAAGCTGTGGCAGTTCCAGCCCAGGAGTGGTCCTCTGAGTCTCTCTCACTCCTTGCCCAGGCCCCAGGATCTGTTGAGTGTGAAAGGATGTACATGGGAGCGGGGTGGAGGTAGGTGGAGATCTGAGACAGGACAATAGGTCCCAATCATGGGGTAGCTATTACAAAGGAGCAGCCCAACTCGGATGTAGAATGGGTGTAGTCTGCTTTTGTACCCTGGACAGAAACTAGAGAAATTACTGTAAAAAATTCCTTGTAACCACATCAAGGGAAGCACTCACAGGGCAGGTATCTTGAAGAGGCGCCTCTAATGGAACTAACCCCGAACACCTTCTCTCGCCTATCATCTCACTCAGCATGACATCCCTAACAGATGAACAATCCCATTTGCTTATTAAACCACACTAGTTCAAACGACCTTGCCCTATGAGCAGTTTTATGTAAACGGTCCTAAGAACAATGAAGGTATCCAGTGTCATTTTTAAGTATGACTGCTCCAAAGTAGGTAAACTGGAGTCTGCACAGGACTGAACAACACCTGGGCCGGGGACTGTAGCTCAGTGGCATCTCACCTGGCTGGCAAGCACAAGGTCCTGAGTTCTATCCCTGGTACTGGGATGGGGGAAAAAGGAACACCTGAAAACAGACCGAGAGCCCCAGGCAGCCTCCTGCACTGTGTACAGGTAATGAAGCCTCACACTTCCAAAGAGCATGGCGCCACATGCAAGACTGATGCACAGAAGATCGGCAACATGAATTTCAGAACTTTAGGGTAAAGGGCAACATCAGGAAGGTTGTTGCAAAACCCCACAGGTGGTGCCATCTCAGCAGACAGGTGACCGACACCAGTACTGACAGACTCACCCCCAGGACAACACCATTCACCTGGCCAACCGGGGATCATCGCCCCACCTCCGTTTTGACCCAGTGGCCCACATGTTGTGTATGATTGCTCAGAAGACCTCCACTGTACCAACCTAGAGCATGTGTAAGACCCGGCAAGCCCCCAAGGAAATGCTTCTGTGACAAAAGTGAAGATTCCCGTGGGTGGTGGTTGCTGACAGGTCAAAACAGAACCTGAACTCAGGCAGAGTGAACAAAGCACTCTGCTGATTCTTTCCAGCCCCTTCTTTAAAACTGGTAGTTACTGCTGTATCAGGCTATGTGCTAAGCCAAAAGAAACACATCACTGGCCTGGCGAATGGTCTGCTATGGTCCCTGTCATTCTGGCTTGTTTTATCCCCTTGCTCTCATACTGGTCTGCAAAACAGCATGCAGTTAGTTCTCCAAACTGCTGTTACCCTTGGAAGTGAGCTGAGGTGGCTCTGAGGACATGTCAAGCTCTGAAACGGGCTGTGGAGATGGAGAAGAACTAGGACTGGAAGCAGCGGCTGAGGCTGGAGGGCTTACCAACTTCTCTAAAAGAAGAGAAAGGAAAAAAGAGCAAAGAGAAAGCACACAAATAAGTCAGGATATACTTCTCTGCTGTCTAGAAAGCTTGGAAAGAGCCAAGCAACAATCATATTTCAGGGACACTGAGCCACGCTAAGAGGTCACCCATCACACCAGGAACAGCAACCGTGGCAAACAAGTGACCGCGAAAAGGTTCGGGGCCTAATTCACGTTCCCTGCCTCCGCTGAATCATGCTGGAGTCCAAGCAAGAGTGGGTGGACCACTCGCCAATTCTTATGTTCTGAAAACAGCTGCAGAGCTATGTCAAGGCCAACACCAAGGCCAATCTCACTCTCAATATGGACAGCGGGCTCTCACTCTGGGACTAGTCAACCTTGGTTGAAAACATTTTTGATTAAAATACTTGCTAGTGGACTAATCAAGGAGCTAGAATGTTACTTGTAAAGGCTTACAGATGTGCAAACAGCTGGTACTCATCTTGAAGTACATATATTAATGCTTCTTCTTTGAGACAAGTATACCAGCACTTCCATTCTGACCCAGGCTGACATTTCAAATGAAAAAGTTTTCCGGTACTGGGAGTCTAACTCAGGATCTTGTGCTTGTGAGGCAGGTGCAGTGCCACTGAGCTAAAGCACGGCCCCTCAAATGAATTTTGGTTTGAATCACCTGGTGCAAAACTCAGGCTGCTGCCTCTTACTCTCAGCTAACAGTTACTAAACACACTAACCAGTGGAAGCTGTGCTGGGTAATTTATCAAACATGCAGTACAGCAGAGTCTAGGAGCTCTGACTACGAGGACACATCCCCACCCTCAGGGTCTATCACTCCATTTCTTGAAAATGTAGTTGTGTAGATAGAAAGCAGTTACTCACCTAGACTTAAGGAAGCTGCATACTGCTGGCTGAGCAGGGAGCTGGCTGCCAGCTGGCCATAGGGTGGCATCCCTCTGAAGGGGCTATAAGGCACATGTGGCTGGAAGGGCGAGGCAGAGGCAGAGCCCAGGGAAGACTGAACAATGAGACACATGGGTAAGAGCAGTGCAAGGCCATCCTGTCACCCTCCAAGTCTGCACACAGGGCACTTGCTCAGATGGGAAGCTGGTCCCCATTCTGTCAGCCTGTGTTCTCATATACTAAATAGTCCTGGAAATTTTCCAGTATGGACCAAACTGTCTTTTCCTCAACATTTTATCCCCAGTTGCACCTATTTGTGTAATCCTAACATGAATTTCTCCCAATATGAAACTGTCTAATAGCTCCCCTGTAACAGCAGAAAATGTCCCCCTCAATTTAAGACACATCCCAGAGGTATAGCCAGGGAACTACTTACACTTATTTACAGAACTTTGTTCTGTCACCAAGCCCCCAAGCGCACCGCTACTCTCTGGGAACTGATCTTTTCCTGTGCTCTTCACCAGGCTATTTCTTCTTTGCTCCTCAGCTACTTTCTTCTTCTGAAGCCTCCTAGGGACCCTTGATCCAAGCTTTCTCAAGTTTGGCCTAGACTCCTCCAAGTGTTCCTAAAGCCCACCCTGCAGGATCCTACAGGATCCTACCGTCCTTGTTTAGCCCCATCTCACCAGATTACATCTGGTGTAATCTGAACCTCAGAGGAGCTAATAAAATTTAAATTCACAAGTGAATAACATATGAATATGGGCCTACTAGCGATCCAGGGCTGTAACTCAGCAAGTGTCTTATTAAGACCTGCAAATTTAGGGCCGGGGATTTATTACCTCAGCAGTTTGGTGGCCTGCCTTGCAAGCGCAAGGACCCGAGTTCAATCCCCGGTACCAAAAAAAAAAAAGACCTGCAAATTTAGTGTCCTAGCCCTGCAGTTTAACAAGGGGACACTGTTAAGACAGCAAGGCCTACTGCCTCTGCAAGCATTTCATGCCACTCAGGGTTGGACTTCTCCACATACTACACTCTGCACACCCTAGGTCCAGGCTAGATTGGAAGCAGCACCTCTTCACACCACACACGCGTGCACAAGTTCTGCCATATTAAACATACTCCCTCCTACATGCCGCATGAATTACCTTCCACAGAAACATCAACAGACTGGATGAAAACCTGACCACTTTTCACTAAAGGCTGAGAGACATGGCCAGATGTGGTGGTGCAGGCCTGTAATCCCACCACTATAAGCTAAGGCAAGAGCACTGCCATGAGTTTGAGGCCAGCCTGGACTACACAGCAAGCAAGACCCTGTCTCAAAAAAAAAAAAAAAGAGAGAGAGAGAGAGAGAGAAAAAAGACCGCCTATCCAGAACATCACCAACACACTTACCTGAACGATAGCAGGATCCTGAGGGAGTGTGTGCTGAGCTTTCGGAGGTTCACATACAGTAATATCTTTGATATCACTTCCCCGAAAAATGATGTACTCATAAATTTCCTCTCTTGGGGGAGCAGGCCTATCTGTGGGGCGGTCTTCAGTACCAAAGGACCTCACTTAGGGGTTGAGAAAAAGAATGATTAAATTGTTGTCCCATGCAAAGCCACGCCATTAATCCTCTGAATCTTCCAGAAGACAGGGATTCCTGGGCACAGTCCCCAATTCAGCACCCAATTCAAAAGGTACTTAGGGCCAGGGATTTAGCTCAGTGGTTCTGCCACCTGTCTCGCAAGCGCAAAGACTCAAGTTTGATCCCCGGTAACATTAAAAGAAAAGGTACTTACTCCCCCTTTTCAGTGGATAAATCCATAAGGAATCAATTGCTGACACTCTAAAAATTAGATTGTAGGTCACAAAGATGACAGGGAAAATTTTATGGACTGCAAGTCTCATGGATCCACACCCTCCAATGCAAAACACCAGGGCGTAGAGCACTCAGCAAACAAGGCTTACTTCACAGAATCTCCCTGTTCACATCTGATTTTCCAGATGAAAAACTCAGCAGTTTTGTGCCTGAAGCTGCACTATATGCTGTGTCTAAAAGGCAGGTTTCTCAGGTGAAAAACCAGTCGATTTTTGGTTACCCTCACCGTTTCACACAACCAGCCTTGGAGAGGGTGTCACGAAAATAACAGGGAGAAGGGGGGGGGTCTCAGAACTTCGCGCCCCCAAACCAGCCTGTGGTTGATAAGGAAATCCTGTCACAGGGACCTCCTTAGGATATGAATCTCCAACCTGCAAGGGCCTAGGAAGGCCTACCACACACCTCTCCTCAGGAGGGCTCCAGGGCCAAGCTGGACTTAGCTCCAAGTCATAGATACACAACTCCTACTGAGGACGCAGGCCGCTGGACTCACTTCCATCAACTGGAGTCTCACGGCAAAAGTAGCATACTGCAGTAACAAGAGTTCAAATGAACACAAAATCTCGGCATGCTGAACTATCTCCTGTGGCACTAGTCAGTCCGCCCCAGTTTGCTCATGAAGCTTCAAAAGGAGCTATTCCAAGGGCTTGGGACGACAGAGCCACGGAGCTAGCTAGCTCCGATCTAGGGGCTTTTCAGACAGGGAGGGCCCGAGAGGCTCTAGCGCGCACTCAGAGCTGCTGCAGGCGAGCCCGCTGCCCTCACGATTTCCTCTTACAGACAAGAATAGGCTCCCCATCTTCTCAGGAGAGAGAAGACAAAGGGGGTCTGTGGCCCTGTGCTGCCTGCACAAGCTCACTGCTTCTGGACTTCTCTAGTCACAAGCAGATCCCCTGAAGTTGGTCTGTGCTCACCGGCGTCTGTCACAAAAGGGCAGGACAGTTGGGCCATCGAGACCACAGTTCAGATCAGGGCATATCCGTCGGTTTTGCCATCTACATTCTACCTTGGCAAGAGGTTCCGCCGCCAGACGCGGTGGGCCCCAGCTGCCTAATGGGTTCCAGGAGGACGCGCAGGA